AATAATAATAATAATAAATAAATAAATAAAATAATCTTTGTCAGAAGCAGGAAAGAAGCAAATGTCTGAACAGTCGCTGGGCTCCAGGCTCCCCACTGCCTTTAGGACAAAATCATAGAGTCGGAGGCCTTTGCCACCCTGCAGCACAGTCTGGCATCCTGAGGGGCCACTGGTGTGTCACAGTGGATATATCGGTCCTTGCTACAGCAGTCTCCATCTGGAACAGTCCACACTTCCCATACATGGTCAGCTCCTCCTCACTCTTCAGGGGCCTACCTGACCCGTGGCTTGACAGGCCCCACCCAGCACCACAGCACTGCCCTCCCTGATGGCTGGGGCAGGAGCATCCCCACAAATCCTGCAGCCAAGCTGCCAGTCTTGATTCCCACCGCTGACTCCATCCGTGTGACCTTGGCCTATCTGTGCTTCTGTTTCCTCATCTGTAAAATTTAGAAGGCAGGCCAGGCGCGGTGGCTAATGCCTGTAATTCCAGCACTTTGGGAAGCCAAAGCAGGCGGATCAGGAGGTCAGGAGTTTGAGACCAGCCTGGCCAACATGGTGAAACCCCCGTCTCTACTAAAAATACAAAAATTAGCTGGGCGTGGTGGGGCGTGCCTGTAATCCCAGCTACTCGGGAGGCTGAGGCAGGAGAATAACTTGAACCGGGGAGGCGGAGGTTGCAGTGAACTAAGATCGGAACATTGTACTCCAGCCTGGGTGACAAGAGGGAAATTCCATCTCAAAAAAAAAAAAAAAATTTTTTTAGAAGACAGTTTCCACCCGGAAGAGAAGGGGGTATAAACGAGTTAACAAACGCAAAACACTAAGAACAGGGCCTTGACCCTTGAGGTTGTGTTGGTTGTTGTGATTAATATCTAGCCAATGGAGCTCATACATTAGGGTTCGGTCTATCCCAGAGGACCAACTCCATGTCCCACACTCTGCTGTGTCAGGTACACAGAAAGCCCTCAGAGCCCGGCTGAGTGAACCCAGTGGTCCCTTCTGATTCACCATTCACTTATTGCGTGTCTTCTGCATGCCAGGTACTGGGCTGCCAGCTACAAATGGGGCAGTGAGAGAACAAGCCAAGTCTCCTCCCCGGTGGGCAGTGTCACTTCTAGGGCCAGAGGTGCTCAAATGTTTTGGTCTAAAAAGCTTAATCTCAACACTTCGGGAGGCCCAGGTGGGCAGATCGCTTGAGGTCAGGAGTTCATGATCAACCTCACCAACATGGCAAAACCCCATCTCTACTAAAAATTTTTTAAAAAGAAAATTAGCCGGGCGCGGTGGTGGGCGCCTGTAATCTCAGTTACTCGGAAGGCTACGGCAAAAGAATCGCTTGAATCTGGGAGATTGCAGTGGGCGGAGATCGCGCCACTACGCTGGACTGGGCGACATAGCGATACTCCGTCTCAAAAATAATTAATTAAAATAAAATAAATTTTAAAAAATTCAGGATCCCAAAAAACTTTTGTATGTAGGCAGTTATTGATATTTGCCATACTAGAAATTAAAACAGAAAAATTTTACATATTCATTAATTCACTTAAAAAATAAACCCATTACTTGGTAACATAAACAACATATTTTATAAAAAATAATTGTATTTTTTAAAACAAACATATGTCTTAATATCTGGCGTAAGGGAAGACAGCTGGATTCTCATGCCGCACTCGACCCGTGCGATACCTTGTGCTGACTGAAGTATACGAAAAATAATCCAGCCTCCCCAGTTTCCTCTTTCGTAGAAATTGAAAACACCAAACCCCGCCCCGTCCCCAGCCTCGCCCGCCACGGAGCCGCGAGAACCCTAGAGGATTGGCCAACCCGGCGGAGCCGGTTGCGGATGGCTTCCGGAAAAGGAGGGGCCTGAACGTCAGGAGCCAGGTGGATTGGGATTGAATAATAAACGTGTCCTTCTGCGCCTTGGACCCGCCTCCAGCTTCCGACCCTTTTTCCGCTCAAGTGTAAACCCTTAACGCATGCGTCCTAAGAAAGATGGTCGCTTCCGCCCAACCCTCCGGAACCTTCTGTTTCTGCTCGGCTTTCCGCCGAGACGACAAGGACGGCCAAGTCGGAAGTAGTGTGAGGCTCGTGGGCGGAGCCAAGCGCAGCCATGTCTGCAGCCTTGCTGCGTCGGGGTCTAGAGCTCCTGGAAGCGTCCGAGGGTGAGGAGGGCTGGCCAGGGGACGTCCGGCGCGGGCAGGAGGGTGGCAGTGGCTGTGGGTGGGAGCCCTGGGTCGAGAACATTCCAAGCGAGCTTAGCCCCGATGGCATGGGAACGCTGCGCGCCCTCCAACCTGAGTCCCTTCCTCTCTCTTCCCCTGCAGCCCTCCGGGACCCTCCAGGGCAGGCCAAGCAGAAGGGGACTCCGAGGAAACGGCCCCGGAAGGCGAAGGCAACCCAGGCCCAGAAACTGCGGAACTCGGCCAAGGGAAAGGTGCCCAAGTCGGCGCTGGGTAAGTTCGGGAAGAGACTGAAAGTGCTGCCTCCAGTGCGGGGACCTGTGCCCCAGAGGAGGTGACGCTTGAGACATGCTTGAAGCGTTCGCCTAGCATTTGGTAGACCTGTGTGCCAGGCGTGGAGTGGGGTCCTAGACATACGAAGGTGACGGAACACCCCACCGTTCTGGCCCTCGTGGACTACGCCCCTATTGGGGAGAGAAGCATCAAAGAATATCAAACCCGGCGTATCATTGTTAAGTGTATCGAAGCCTCTGAAAAAAGGCTACAGTACTCTGATGGGGACTTAGACCAAGTCAGCCTTCTCTGAGTAAGTGACATTTAAGCCGAGAGCTGAAGGAAGTATAAGAGTGTGCTAGGTGAAAAATAAGAGAATATTCTAGGAAGAGTAGCATGTGCAGAGATCCTGAGTCAGAAAGAGGTTGTTGCCTTTGATAATTTGAAAAAAACAAAGGCCGGTAAAGGTGACATAGTGAATGAAGGTCAAAGATGGAGCATTTGACAAGCACTTTCACTAACACTCTGTGCCAGGTGCTGATTCTAAGTGCTGTACAACGTCAGCTCGTTTGATCCTTAAAGCAGCCCTATGAGGTCGAAACTAATATCACCCCCGTTTTACAGATTCAGAAAAAGGCATCTGCCGAGGTGGTAGAAACCAGGCATTGTGTCTCCAGAGTGCTGCTGTTATCCACTCCATTCAAATGGCACATGCTGTGGCCTGGGCACTGCCAATAGCAGCAGAGATAACAAGAGACTTGTGCAGGTGGAATATACGTTAAGGAGGGGGCAGCAGAGAGTTTCAGGCTTTACAGGGGCTTTAGTGGTGAATGGGCTGTGAAGGTGGAGCCTAGTTTCTTGGGGGATGTAGTGTCACTTAACAAGACATAAAGACTTTCTGAGTCGGGCGCAGTGGCTCACACCTGTAATCCCAACACTTCAGGAGGCTGAGGTGGGCCGTTCACGAGGTCAAGAGATTGAGACCGCTGGGCGCGGTGGCTCATGCTTGTAATCCCAGCACTTTGGGAGGCCGAGGCGGGTGGATCACGAGGTCAAAAGATCGAGACCATCCTGGTCAACACGGTGAAACCCCGTCTCTACTAAAAATACAAAAAATTAGCTGGGCATGGTGG